ATCGCACAGGTTCAGATAAAAAGACGGGCTGACTGATATACACATGTGAGACATTAACGATACTGGATTTTTCCAGAATTTATGTGCTATGATCATCTTTATATAGCTATAATGGGGTTATGACTATCAATATTTTATTTATCTGGTATTTGTATTCTTGCCTGGACAGTGTTCTTTTGTTGTCATTCATATTGATATTCTCACACCTTAGTACGGTATCCCATAAATGAGTAGGTGCTGCTTAATGAATATTTGCTGCATGAACTTATTGAAGTTATTCATGTTTACTGAACAAGCTTCATGAAACTTACTGAAAAGACAAAAATAGAGCTGATCAACTCACTAACTTAGCTCTTAACACCCATCTGTTTGTTTCCATGGACTGCCTGACTGTACTTAGTGTTTTATTCTAGCCCCGTTTATCCTGATCCATTATAATTCTTAAGTTCTTACCCCTGCAGCATTTTATCAGGTTTTCCAAATTATTTAAAAACATAAAATATAGGTTTTCCAAAATGAGCCAGATTTTCCCAGTCCCACTGGGAGCTTTCCCAGAACTTGGTTAAAACTCAATTATGATCCCCACTAGTACATCCCATGTAAATCAGTAGCTAAAATAAGGGCCAGGAAGGCTACAACAGAACACACCTCTTTATTTCAAGTCAGATCTATAAAAACAGAGACTTGACAGACCTCAGATTTAGGTGCTAAAGGTTGATCTAAAATTCCATTTTACACCAAATCTCCCTCGTAATCACTCAAGTCTCCCAGTGACTCGCCTTCCAGACGGAGTTTGTTTTTGAAGTAGGAACGCTATAAAGTCAGGGTACTTTTCCACAGAGGTTAGTAATCTTTGTGTCTATTCCAAAACAATTCCGCTAAGACTCTGCCGTGGAGAGCCCCAAGACATGAGTGCAATGAAAAAAAGAGTTTGATTTGTGAATTTGTGTTAAGGTCATGAAGGTACATTTAGGCACAAGCCAACACTGCCTTTAAGGCCAAAAAAACTGACGTTGTTCTCAAATGTGAGGTAACTGACCTCACGAAAAAGGTGTGGGCAGAGATCTCCTTGTAGCTCCAAAAGCAAATCCTGGCAAAACTACCCCTTTGCCAAAGTTGGACAGGATACAGAGAGAACTACACACACTTACGCACAATTTTACACATACACTCAGAAAAGACACAGATTCAAAGGATTATGCAAGCACAATAACCAAAACCAATAGTGGTTTTGGCTGGGTTTTTACCCTCTTCTTTGAGCTTACTCACATCTTCACTTTCTTAATTCCCACAATAATATGTATAACTGGCCTATTTTACAAAGTTTTTTTTTAAGTGAATAAACAGAAAAGAGAGTACAAATTAAATGAATAAGATAATGCACACTGAAATAGACAGTAAATGCAATGTGCTATAATTTCTTTTATTCCTCCTATCCTTCCCCCATTAGACTATAAACTGCTAACAGGTAGCACACGAAGTGGCCACTCTATATATACTGAAAGAAGACACCAGCATCCATTGGGAGAAAAAGGTACTTTCTGCACAGGTAAATTCAAACACTATATGATATTTATTTATTTATCTATTTATCTATTTATTTATTTATTTTTGAAACAGGGTCTTGCTCTGTTGTCCCAGCTAGAGTACAGTGGCATGATCATGGCTCATTGCAGCCTTGACCCTCCAGACTCAAGCAATTCTCCTGCTTCAGCCTCCCAAGTATCTGGGACAATAGGCATGTACTACCATTCCGGGTTAACTGAATTTTATATATTTTTGTAGAGATGAGGTCTCCCTGTGTTGCTTAGGCTGGTCTCAAACTCTTAGGCTCAAGCCATCCTGCCACCTTGGCCTTCCAGAGCGCTGGGATTACAGTTGTGAGCCACAATGTCCAGCAGTCAATCATTACATGATTACAAAATGCAGGCAGCCAAACAATTTTGGGTGGAAGGATAAAAGGAAATTTGACCAGATTTCCCTTGTTTTCACTTTTCAAAGTCACTGACTCTTAGGCTTTAAGATCAATGTTTCTCTTAAACAGCTTGTACACTAAAAATACAGTATAAATCAAATAGTGGCCGGGCGTGGTGGTTCATGTCTGTAATCCCAGCACTTGGAAGGCCAAGTCGGTGGACCACTTGAGTTCAGGAGTTGGAGACCAGCCTGGGTAACATGGTGAAACCCAATCTCTACAAAACAAAATTAGCCGGGCATGGTGGCACATGCCTGTAGTTCCAGGTACTCCAGAGACTGAGACAGGAGGATTGCTTGAGCCTGGGAGGCAGAGGTTGCAGTGAGCTGAGATAGTGCCACTGCACTCTAGCTTGGGCAACAGAGTAAGACCCCATCTCAAAAATAAATAAATAAATAAATAAATAAATAAATAAATAAATAAAAAGTCAAAAAGTGGTAGTAGAATGTCGGTTGCCTGCTTATGTCACTTCATGAGGACACTCGATATAAGACTAATGTCTCTTTTGACAAACTGAGAGACCTTAACTTCTTAAAGTAGTCAATACTCAGTAGTAGTTACATATATTATTGACAGTATAGTAAATGTACAGTGTGTTACAGTATTAGCAACACATACTTCCATAGTATCAAAACACCTTAATTCCATAATCTGAATCCAGAGAAAGTCTTAAGAAACATTAAAACATAATTTAAGCATCAACTTTATACTTGATAATTTCAAAAATTTCCAAGGAAAAAAACTCTATAAAAGGCACTTTGCAGAAATTCCTCATGAAGAATTATTAATTTTATGTACCTCTTTCTACCTGAACCTGGTTTTTCCTAATATCCATCTACATGTTAATTGATAAAAGAGACACAAGTTCATTACGGGAATGATAAAACAATATCCTCTGAATTTGATAATGATTATCTTTCCTTTCATGATGGAAAACATGCATTTCCTTAAAACACTGAAGGAAATAACATCCTCTCCCTATTCTACAATGCCTCCCCATGCCTGCCTTTAGGAATCTTTGCAGCGACAAAATGATGAGCATGGAGTTTTAGGCTTTTAAAAGACACAGGTCTACTGTTCAAAAGTGCTATCTGTCATTGTCGTTCATGTTCACAGGAATAAGCAAATCATAGTGCTAATATGAACATGCATAAAACAGCAGGTCTTTGGGAAAAACCCTGGAAATGAATTGCTGGTAACTAACATACCTACAGTAGGAGTATGTGTTCCAAAGGACTGAAAGCAATACAACTTTACCTCATTTTCTCAACTCCTAAAGTTTCCGTAAGCGTTGAAGGATGTAGTCTACGTTCAAATTAGGAGAGGCTATTGGTTAGAGGTAAACTCAAGTATTGAAAACTAAGTTTTGGATAATTACAGTTCAAGATGCAACACTCTCATTTACACCCACTCTCCCTTATATAACAGGGAAGCCTCTGAGGTTCAGAGTCTGACAATAGAACTTTTACATTTATTCAGGTATTTAGGAGCCAGCATGTCGGAAGCAATTCAATTGCTTAAACCTGATTTTACTACCTGACTTGGGGGTGGGGAGGTGTTGCAGGGAACAGTCTGGATTCATATGTATCAAGTTTTCTGTTTTGGAATATAACTTAAAATATTTTTGAAGAAATATGGTACAGTGATTATCCTTCTGGAACTAGATACACCGACACTGTCACATTAACTCACAGCTTGTTAAATACTGTGCAATCTTTCTATAACATTCTTTGTTATGAGACCAGAATCAGCATATGGGAATTGCTCTTTTCCTGCTAAACTGAAGTCATTACTAACTACTCATCTGTGACATGTACTCTTTCTTGTAACCAGGGATTTCAGCTTCACAAAATTTAGAAACTGCCGCATTGTTTCTTGGCATTGCTTTCAAATGTGACATCATTTAAATTTTGGAATACTCCGTTTTAGCAAATACACTAGTGGGTGCCAGGTTAAAAGATGACTGTCCAAAAAGGGGCAGCAGGGTCTCTGTAGGGAACAACCACAGATTATTCTTTCAATCTATACCATCCCACGCCTTTCACCAGAGGCACACTGAATTACAATGAGCTCAATAAATACATTTCAAAATGGGTTATCAAATTACCAGCCTATAGCAATGGCTTCCCGTCACTGAAGATCTATATTGAAAAACAACTGTGACATGGAAATGAAAACTCCATTTTCATTTGGGAGGCCAGGGTGGGTAGATCACCTGAGGTCAGGAGTTCGAGGCCACCCTGGCCAACATGGTGAAACTCCATCTCTACTAAAAATACAAAAAATTAGCTGAGCATGATGGCGCATGCCTGTAGCCTCAGGTACTAGGGAGGCTGAGGCAGGAGAATCACTTGAACCTGGGAGGCGGGGGTTGCAGTAAGCCTAGATTGCACCACTGCGCTCCAGCCTGAGCGACAGAGTGAGACTCCGTCTCAAACACAAAACAAAACTCCTTTTTCAGTTTTCCTAATTTCCAAAGTCTACAATATATGTATAATCCCAGCACTTTGGGGGACTGAGATGGGAAGAATTCCTTGAGGCCAGGAGTTCAGGACCAGCCTAGAAAATATAGCAAGACTCCGTCTTTACAAAAAATTAGAAAATTAGCCAGGCATGATGGCTTATGCCTGTACTCCCAGCTATTTAGGAGGCTGAAGCTGGAAGAGCCCTTGACCCAAGAGTTCAAGGCTACAGGGCGCTATGATTGCACCACAGCACACCAGCCTAGGCAACACAGCAAGACCCTGTCTCAAAAAAAAAACAAAAGAAAACATATATATACACACACACACATTCACTTATTAAAAACACTATATACATACATAATAGTCATATATACGATATGAATACAAACAGAAACATACAGATGGACCTATTGACTCATTTATTGCTAAGCAAAAAAATAATAGAGAACTGTGTTTAAATGACAAAAATGACAGAAAATCACTATCATTCACACCCTCTGAAAGTCTTTTGGAAATTTTTGTATGATTTCTAGAACTTCTTCCATTATTTAAAAACTTACATAACCAAAAGAGTAATTCTAATCATCTCATCAATGCACTCTGTAAGCTTCCAGTTATGAAACTTGTGAATTTTATAATCCAAATACAATTCAATAGCAGCACCTGTCAACAAAAATTTAGAATTAGTACTCTCAGTTAGGGACATCTTTTCTATCAAATAAAAAATAACTCCAAAGGTGCATGGTAATTTCTCCTAGAAAATATGAATGACTGTGTCAGTGCTAAAAAAAAAATGCTTTGATAACCTAACCCCAGCAAAAACATTAGTAATTTTAATCATTTTTATTATTCCCTAAAAAGACATATTTCATTAATGTTTTTATCTCTGATACTGAAAGCATGCTTACTTCGTGAAAAAAAAAAAAATATATATATATATACAGGCACACCTCAGAGATACTATAGATTCAGTTCCAGACCACTACAATAAAGTTAATATTGCAATAAAGCAAATCACATGAATATTTTGGTTTCCCAGTACATATAAAAGCTACATTTACATTATACAATGGTCTATTAAGTGGGTGATAGTATTATGTCTAAAAAAATGCACTTAGTTAAAAACATTCTTTAATGCTAAAAAATACTAACAATCATCTGAGTCTTGAGCAATTTGTAGTCTTTTTGCTGGTCTTGCCTCATCGTTGATGGCTGCTCAGTGGAGGTTTTTGCTGAAGGTGGGGGTATCTATGGCAATTTCTTAAAACAAGGCAACAATGAAGCTTCCCACATCAACTGACTCTTCTTTTCATGAATGATTTGTTTGTAGCATGCAATGCCATTTGATAGCATTTTACCCACGGTAGAATTTCCTTTAAAACTGGAGTCAGTCATCTCCAACACTGCTGCTGCTTTATCAACTAAGTTGATGGAATATTCTAAATCCTTTGTCATTTCGACAATGCTCACAGCATCCCCACCAGGAGTAGCTTCCATCTCAGGAAACCACTTTCTTTGCTCATCTTTAAGAAAAAGCAACACCTCATCCATTCCAGTTTTATCAGGAGATGGCAGTAATTCAGTCATATCTTCAGGCTCCACTTCTAATTCTAGTTCTCTTGCTATTTCTACCACATCTGCACTTCCTCCACTAATGTCTTGAAGCCTTCCAAGTCATCCATGAGAGTCGGAATCAACTTCTTCCAAACTTTTGCTAATGCTGATGTTTTGACAACCTCCCATGAATCACGAATGTTCTTAATGGTATCCCGAATGATGTGTCCTTTCCAGAAAGTTTTCAACTCACTTTGTCCAGATCCACCAGAAGAATCACTATGGCAGTTATAGCTTCATGAAATGTATGTCTTAAATAATGACTTGAATTTTGAAATTTCTCCTTGATCCAAGGACTGCAGAAGGGACGCTGTGTTAGCAGGCATGAACACAACATTCATCTCTTTGTACATCTCCATCAGAGCTTCTGGGGTGACTGCGTGCACTGTCAGTGAGCAGTAATACTTTTAAAAGAATCTTTTTCCAAGTAGTAGGTCTCAAAAGTGCACTTCAAATATTCAGTAAACCATACTGTAAACAAATGTGCTATCCTTCAGGCTTTGCTGTTCCTTTTATAGAGCACAGCCCCACAGAGTAGATTTACCATAATGATTAAGGGTTCCAGAATCTTTGGAATGCTAAATCAGCAACAGATTCTACTTCAAGTCATCAGCTGCATTAGCCCCTAACTAGTCAGCCTGTCCTTTGAAGTTTTCAATCCAGGCATTGCCTATTCTCCTCTAGCTATGAAACCCCTAGATGGCATCTTCTTCCAACAGAAAGCTGTTTTGTCTCCACTGAAAATCTGTTGTTTAGTGTAGCCACCTTCATCATTGATCTTAACTAGATCTTCTGGATAATGTGCTACAGCTTCTTCATCATCACTTGCTGCTTCACCTTGTACTTTTATGTTATGGATATGACATATCTCTTTAAAACCCATGAACCAACCTCTGCTGGCTTCAAACTTTTCTTCTGCAACTTCTTTATCTCTCTCAGCTTTCACCGAATCAAACAGAGGGCCTTGCTCTGGATTAGGCTGTGCCCGAAGGGAATGTCATGGCTGGCTTCATCTTCTCTCCAACCACTAAAACTTTCTCCATATCAGCAATAAGGCTGTTTTTGCTTTCTTATCATGTGTGTGCTCAACCGAGTGGCATTTTTAATTTCCTTCAAGCACTTTTTCTTTGCATTCACAACCTGGCCATGTGGCACAAGAGGCCTAGTTTTTGGCTTCTCTCTTTTTCAGCATGCCTTCCTCACTAAGCTTAATCATTTCTAGCTTTCGATTTAAAGTGAGAGACATGAAACCCTTCTTTTCACTTGAACACTTAGAGGCCACTGTACGGTTATTAATAGGCTGAATTTCAAAATCATTGCATCTCATGGAATAGGGAGGACCAACGAGCCCCAGAGAGACAAGGGAACAGCCAGACAGTGGAGCACTCAAAACAAACACATTTATCAATTAAGTTTGCCATCTTACGTGGGCACCATTCATGGCTCCCCAAAACAATTACAATAGTGACATCAAAGATCACAGACCACCATATCAGATATAATATAATAACAATGAAAAGGTCTGAAATATAGCACGAATTTTCCAAATGTGACAAAAGAGACATAAGGTAAACACATATTTTTGAAAAAACGGTGATGACAGATTTGCCTGACGCAGGGTTGCCACAAACCTTTATTTATAAAAAAGGTAACATCTATGGAGTGTAATAAATGAAAGTGTAATAAAACGAGGTATGCTTGCATATGTATATATGTATATATACACACATACATACACACACTTAGCTTGAAATTTAGGATATGTGGTTATAACTCAGAATCACTCTGCTATAGAGTACACCCTACAGTGACTATGGAATCACACAACTTCTATTTATTATTCTCCTGCTGAAAACCTGGGTGATCTCAGTAATAACAAACCATTTTTATTAACGAAGTGCTTATGATCATGTAGGACATATCCCACGTAATCAAAATAAAACTTCTAAAATATCCAGCGAGAACCACAAAACATTATCTCTAAAATGCTGCTCCTCAAGAAAGGTCCTGATATATTCAAAATTAAAACAACCTATTGAAAAATAAGACAGTCATTAGTTTTGAGGAGGAATTGTGTGCTCATTTTGGAGAAGAGGAAAAATGTCATAAAATTAACGCAAAAAAGTTACTATAAGAGGAAATCTCTGGATATCAAAATGTCATATTTTTTAAATCCCATATTAAAATCAGGTGCCAATACAAATATTACAAAAAAAAGATGGCACATATTATTAAAGGCCCGTAAAAGGTCATTAAGGCAAAGATGTACAATGTGAAAAAAAAATGCAAAAATACTTCTTGCAAGTATTTCCAATTTAGACCTTGAACTCGGCACTACTGAATACCAAAGCTTATAGAAGTGAAATTCAAACATAACAGAGCTTTTGAATTTAAGGCATGTATTCTACCAAGGTATGACACTGAGCTAACCTTTTGGGATAATATAATGCCATTCTTTTCTACAATAGCTGACGGCTAGAATGCTCAGTTTGTTCCTCTCCGTAAATATCCTAAATATAATTGTTAAAATTAAAAATAAAATAAGGCCTTAGAAATACTATTTTGAATAGCCTAAGCACTCCCATAGTTAATGATATACAGAAATTACAAAGATTAGAAACAGAACAATCATTATCATTATTTATAGAAATAAATATTCAGTCGTTTTACATTCACCAAACCTGTTTTACACATCTTATCTAAACTGATTCTTCTCCCAAAACCTGTGCCCAGGTACTATTACTCACAGCCTATGGGTGAGAAGACTGCACTCTAGAGAAATTACAGAATTACTTTAAGACTGGTTTTATTCCAACAGAGCCACATCACAAAAAGGAAAACATAGCTACAACCTATGGGACTTCTAACCATAGCTGGACATGAGTCTATTCCAGACAGTCGCGTGTCCCAAAAGGCACTGTGATGACTGAACTTTCTTTTAATTTGTATTGTGCGTTTCTGGAGAACAAATAAACTCGAAAAGAGGTCAAAGTGCTCGTTATAGAAAAATGCAAAATAAAACAAAAAGTTTAGAAAATACTGTGATCCACATTTATGACAACTGTAATAATAAGTATGCCCCCCATACTCTAGGACTGGCTCCTCCAGCCATGAGAAAAATATATGGTGGACCTAAAGTCTTTATTATTTGAATATTAAAGCACAGTTTCTGGTGCTGTGCGTTCAGTACCTTTCTTCTAATAATGTAATTATTTAGCTTAGACGTTTGATGGCAAACTGTAGTTACTAATAATTGGTTTAGTATTATTTTTATCATGAGGTCATGGTTTTCTTTTAAACACATTACTGTAAAAAGAGTTGCCGTACTAAATCATACATTAAAGGGATTTTTTTGTAATAAAGCATCTCTAATTTTAACTACTATAACTTATGAAATCAACTCATGTTGTCAACTGAAAAATTCTCCCCTACAGAAAGCAATACTAGAAGTTGAAGTGTTGCAAATTAAAAAGAAGACTCTAAACTTCCCCATTTTAAAAAAAAATATATTTTAAAGTTAATGAAGGGGTCCAGAGATAAATCCTGTCACCTACAATTTAAAATGGCCACCTCACATCCAGTTATATATCAACTATTTTCTTTACCTGATATTAGGCACACTGGAAATCTCAAGGCAAAAATGAAGCAGTTGGATACAAATTCCATGAAACAATATAGCTCAGTTATCGCAAAATATCTCTTGTGGAAACATTTCAGAACAGCTCTACTAAAAATACTAATTTTCCTGATATGGCCTTACTAATATAGACTTCTAGAAAAGGAAATTAATACAGAGGGTATAAAAAGCATGCCCTTAACAAGAGTTAATTTAAAAAGAAGCTTGATGATGTAAAGAAGGCAAAAACTTGATAGGGATCCACGTATAGCAACTGTCTTAAAAGTTCATAATTTAAGAAAAATACAAAGGCCTCAGTTTCCAGAATGCTAAAAATATAGTAGCCTTATATACATATATAGCCTTAGCCACTCCAAAAGGCTTCATGTGCTTGTAAAACTATTACATTATAAGGTAAATTTTGATTTACTGA